AGGTTTCAGTGGGTCAGCAGATCAGCAAATGCAATGGCTGATTCTTTGGCCAAGCAAGGGGTGTCAAGGGGAKATCTGTTTTGGGCCACTTTGTAACTGTGTTTCAGGCTTGTGTTTGTTTAGTGTTTATGACTAAGTCCTAGGGGGAGGTAACACCTCATGCCTCTTCCTAGGCTGAATGTACTACTATTTTTTGAATTAATAAAACTACTCTCATTTATCAAATATATATATATATATATATATATATATATATATATATTCATGATTTCCAAGTTTACCTCTTCCTTAGCCTCTCCGTTGGCCTTGAACTGGGATTTTGGTTTTCGAAGAGGGTTAAGTCATAATGAATCTACTTGTGCCTTAGAAACTAGAACTATTTTCATCACTTGAGTCCGTTTGTTTGGATCCCCCCAATTCTAATTTAAGAATATGGACCCCTAACCTGAAAGTCTTTTTTACTTGCTTCTCTTTTTTCAAATCCCTTTGCTCTTCTCCTGCACCCCAAGCTTTCCCAGTTAAAGAAGCCTGGACTAGACCCATTCCCCCAAAGATTGTTGTTTTCTGTTCGGAAGTCTACTATGGTAAGATTAATACCTTTGAAAACCTGCAAAGGAAGAGACCAAACTGATGTTTATCCCCTAATTGGTGTGTCCTTTGTAAAACTCAGAGCGAGGACTGTTACCACTTACTGATCTATTGTTCCTTTGCTGCAGCTTTATAGAATTGGATTTTTGGGATGTTTAAGTGTAGGTGGAACCTGCCATCTGATATTAGCTTGTTGTTTAGTCCATCTCCCTTTGAGTGGCACACGAAGAGAGAGAAAATTATGTGGAAGTGTACCAGAACAGCAATCTTGTGGACTGTTAGGGAAGAAAGAAACACCAGAATGTTAAGGATTATGTTTTGACAAGGGCAATTCAGTGGCTAAAAACTTTAAACCTGTTTGATAGCTATTCCTTTGATGACCTTTGGAGGAGTTGGTTGGCAGTGGCTAATACTTCTACTAGAAAGAATAGACTTTTGGTACAATGGATGCCACCTAGGGAGGAGTTTTTTAAGCTGAATTTTGATGGGAGTAGCAGAGATAACCCTGGACATTTGGGTCTAGGAGGAGTTCTAAGAAATAAAGCTAGCATCATCATATCTTTATATTCAGGTCCCGTGGGTCTGGGAGATTCCATAAGGGCTGAATTGCTTGCTGCTGTACAAGGAATCCAGCTCGCAAACCAGCTAGGGATACAACATTTGTTTATAGAAGGGGACTCTCAAGTGGTGGTGGGATGATTGTTGAATCCGGACTCTGTGATTTGGAGCTATAGAAATATCCTTAAAAAAGTCAAATGGATAACAAGAAATATGACAATTAGAGTCCGATGGGTAGGGAGATCAACAAACTTGATGGCTGATTCACTTGCTAAACAGAGGGTCTCTTGGGATTCTTTATTTTGGACTGCCTTGTAATCATCCTCATCTGATTTTGTAATGCTCTGATCAATCTTAAAGGAAAGGTTGCATCTCATGCCTCTCCTTGGGTTGCCGGTAACTCTTATTTACTGGATTAATAAAATGCTTACTCATTTATCAAAAAAAAAAATATCTAGATATTCGTCCCATTTGTGTAGTGCATATAAACACATATTTGTTCAAAGTGTTCACAAAAAGAACAAAAATGGATAAAGTTCACAGCTTAACCTACCAATGTAGAGGGCTTCTTCCATCATTATCAGGAATATCAGGATCAGCATTCCACTTCGTAACAATATGATGAAGGAAGGCTGTCTGACCATACTGTGCCGCAACATGAGCTGCCTGCAGTCAAGGAAAATTTTAGATGCAACCATTGATCTGTGGCACTTGGCATTAAAAGAAATGCTTAAACAATGGAACCACTAAATAAAACATAAAACCTAAAGCCAATTGAACAAGGATGAAAATGTGAATGTGGGCCAAGGATTGTCTATCAGATGCACTAAGAAAGTTTAAAATTTTCGAGTTATCGCAGTTCAGGCCATCAGTGGGGATGAGCATATCCAAGAAGCTAAAACCAGGGGAAAAATATTCAAAAGCTGAGAATCAAAAAACAAGGACTCTGGTTCCACCATGACGCAGGAATGGCCGACAGGTTCAGCCCTACATATTGGCCATTGGGCCTTTTCCCAAACATTTTAGGCCTTACAGATTATCTGCTGACTAAAATTCACCCTAGCTAGTCCTTTCTTTTCAGGGGCAGGATGAGACTCTGCATTTGCATGAATATATGTGCATGTATGTGCACGCCATAGAATCCTGGAAACTGAAAATGATGAAGGGGGTTTTTTAATTAAAAAAGCAAAAGAGGCAGGTAGGGCAGGTAGTTGGGGCAATGGCTTAAGCAGGATAATCACTTGAAACCAAAAGGTGCAGGGGCTTTCTCCGGTCACTATTTTAATAGGCTAAAGGTTCTTAAGAGAAGAGGCTTTAAACTTAGGAGTTCAAACTTCCTCAAAAAGGCAAAGTCTTTATAAAGGATCGACGCAGGGAAGAGAAGACCTGGAGATGCTGCCATTTTGGTTTGGGAGATTCATAAGTATGAAAGCGAAGGAGATACAAAAACAGGTACTGACTCGGGGGGAAGGTAAGACTGAGGACAATAGTTTACGATGCTATGGTTCTGTGGATTCCTGTACTGGCTCGCAGCGTCATGAGCATCAGATTTTGGCTTTTCCTGTGGCTGTTTCAAAACAACGGGCAGCTGGTGATGAGTCGGCTGAGGTGGGGAATTATGATCGTAACAAAGATTTGTCTGGTTTGATTTCTGGAGCAGTGAGTGAGGAGGTGGGTGACCAGGGTTCAAATCTTGGAAACAACTCCTCTCTATATGCAGGGGTAAGGCTGGGAGCTGGGTACATCTGTCCCTCCCCAGACCCCACATCAGGGGGAGCCTTGTGCACTGGAACTGTCCTTTTTTAATTTAACCACAAACCATTTTCTCATACTTCTTACTTTACTATGACAATGGAAAATTTGACTCTATAAAAGCAACTTAAACTTTGAAAGGAGTATCCAGAATCATATGCCATAGTTGTCCTAGAAAATCAACAACCTTCACATGGCTTTGTTTTCCAATAAATTAGGTTCATGGATAACAGCATATGACAACATCTAATACACTGAATTACCATAGGTCCTCTTCAGTGATTCCATGCCCAGGTTACTAGAAACCAAACTAAGTATAGATTGGTAATGCCTGCATCTGATTAAGGCAATTATTTCCACAAGTTCCCAAGCCCCAACAAATATGTTTTCGTATAAGTCCTAGTTTCTTTGCAGATTTAACTAACCTGATAGCCATACAAATCAGCTGCATTGAGACGAGCACCCTCCTTGAGTAAGAGCTCCGCAACCTGGAATGCACCCCGCACAGCACTCCAATGCAGTGCAGTCTGTCCAGTGTGATCAACTGCATTTACGTCCCCTCCGTGCTGGAAAAAGGGAAAAACAACATATATTTAATACTAAATTTTCCCTACCAAAACTTCAATTTCAAAAACCAGACAATAATTATAAAACAATCTAAAGGTCCTCCATTTGATCACAAGCAATTCCCATTCCGTCTATGCTGAGAACCAATCAAGACTGGTAGCACCTACATTCATAATCCAACCGAAGATCACATAAACATATCCATTCCCTTCGTTAAGCTCACAAAGAATATTAGCTTATGTCTTATGCATATTATCAAATTAAAAAGATAACAAGAAACCATTTTTTCCCCTGGGAACCTCGCCTGCAACTTAAAACCTCCAATTATACAACTCAACTCCGAGGCCCCCTAGGAAATTCCAAAAAAAAAGAGGGAAAAAAAACAGAATGCACCCAGACCTCGAGAATATATTGCGCCGCCGCGGTCCGATTGTTCAAAGCCGCCCACTGCAACGCATAATACCCAAGCCCATCCGGTTCAGAAACCGAGCATCCATCACACTCCACCAACCTATGCAACTTCTCCATATGACCATACGCCGCTGCCGTGTACACATCGTTCCGAAGACTATCATCACCTTCATCCACGCCGTTCGTCTCCGCCGAGCCACCGCCAGTGCGACCCGTCTGGCGATCTCGGCTATCTCCTTCGTCAACAACCTCGATCTCGGACGCCATTTCTTCAAGAATCACGATGGTAATCTAATCTCCACAGAAGCGACGAAAATTTTCACAATCCGAAAATGCATTTTTCGGTCCTTATTAGATTATTAATTTGACTCGCCCTTTTGCTGGAATTTCAGGTTTTAGGGTTTTGTTGCAGGAAACAAAATTACGATACCAGAGAGGTGGAATGGGGATGGAAGTCGCCGACGGTGTTGACTGAGTTATGCCAAATCCGAACACAGTAAACCCAGATACCAAAAGCCAAGCCACTTCCATATTCGATCATCCAACCAAATCCCGATTAATGACTAATTAGTGTTTTTTCTTACCTACCGTCAGATTGGAACCTAGTTTTCAGCCATAACGCAGCATGTGTGGGGCCTTTGATGAATCTTCAATCTTGACAGTCGGATTAAAACTGATTAATTTTGGTGTATTAAGATCAAATTTTACTTATTTAACCCAAGTATCGTTGGCATGGCAGTTGGCGTTGAGGGCCAGAGCCCAGAGGTTGCTTGTGGCAAGGAGCAAGTGTTCCATTTCTCCGGTTTTCAAAAGCCCAATAATGCATCGGAACGTGGGCCTACTCATAGATTATGAGAATAGGACCAATAATGGGGGCCCAAGTGGATCTCTGGATGAAGACTTCCACCCAAGTCTCAACTACCAGTTTTTCAAAGAGGTCCGTTCCTATGAAATATGAACTGGTACGTATATGGAGGTGTTATGTGTAATCAACTTTGACTTTGCTCCCTTCACTCGTAGCAATGGATGTAATAAATTAATTTTGTTGCTTATGGGCCTCATAAATGATTCCTCATGCTGAGGTCCAAAGTTCAATACTTAATTCGCCCAATTGGTAAGGTCAAATAATTAATTTCCTTCATGGACTTGTTTGGAGAATAACTTTTAAAAAGTTCATTAATTTTCTATCAACTCATTCTTGCTTCTTTTAATTACTCTATTTCATTGAAGAAATTCGGTTTGAAATTTCTGTTCCTTGTCTAATTAATACAAGTCATTTAGAGGTGGGTTGTTCTTTAAATTAAAATTTTGAAACATATAACAGCTTATATCATTCAAGGAAAAAGGTTAAATATCTCTTGGCTTTTATATGATGAAGCTTTGTTAGAGATTATTGACTGAACGGGGAAGACTATAGACAAACCTCTTGGCTTTGAAATATCTCTCCACCACTACCACGTTATAAGATGTAAAAAAGAAAAGTTATAACTCAAATGCATGGAGGTGCTTGTAGGATACAGCGGTGTTTGGAACCAGTGTTGTTTCTCCAGCATGGTTTTCTAAGAAAACTGCATTGTATTGGTATGTTCTTTTTTCAGAAAAAAGGTTTTTCTTGGAACTATTGCTGCCACATCAGCAGTTTTCTTAAACTGTACATTTTTCAATTTCCAATGTGTGGTATGAGAAAATGTGTTTCAAGAAAACACCTAATCAAATAATGAGTGTTTCTTTAGAAAACAGATTTCAGATATGTGGCGTTGATGTAGTGTCATTTTTCAATAAAATAGAATGGGTCCTAAACATCCATAAGAACAAATCTCCTAAAAAGGAGTTAGGTTGTAGGGAAAGGTAGGGAAATGTAGGAAAACCTATACAGGGTCTGTAAAGGTTTTCCTACATTTTCCTTCCAACCAAAAGCAGCATTTATGGCGACCCATGGCTTGCTATTGTTTTAAATGATCCACTCCACAATCATTGACATGGCAGGGTGGCAAAATTGATCTATTTTTTAATTGATTGAGGTGCTTGGAAATTGGATGTTGTTCAAATTTGTTTGATCCTCCAAAACAATTCATCAAATACTCTAGATATATTGAGCTACCTTCTAATCCATAAGTTGAAAGGGATTGCCTTATCTAGGCTTTGACTCCCTTGGTCATTTTTTTGTGCTCCTACTTACAAGTTACTTTAGTCTAAACAAGCCTCATCATCCCAACTAGGGGTGAGCAAACGATTTATTCAATTAAAAATCGAACCGAATAAACTGAAATTTTAAATGAAAAACTGAACCAAAACCAAAATATTGAACTAAACCAAAATTTTTTGTTCGGTTTTTGATTATTTTGGTTAAAACTGGATTTCAACATTATATAAAATATTTTAATATACATTATATATTAACACAGTATAATATATTTTATACATGTATTATATGTTAATATATATATATAGATATTATAAATAATAAAGTTCGATTAATTCGGTTTTTTGATTAACCAAAATTCTAAACCTAAAAACTGAAACCAAAATTTCCAATTCGGTTTTTCGGTTTTAACCAAGTAATGCTCACCCCTAATCCCAGCAATAGTTGGTTTTCCATTTGTTCTCTGACTCTCTTGGAAGTCTTGGCACTTAAAGGAGTTGTCTCCCAAAGTTCATTGCTTTATTAGGAGGTGTTTGAATAAAGCTTTACTTGTGTTAGATTAACCAACGTCATAACCCCTTGTAATGATCTTAGTGAAGACTCTAAACATTGGTTTCTTCTTTGCCCCATCATGAAAGCAATTTTATTTGGTTCATGCCTTTTTGTTCATTTGAATAAGCATCCACCTTGGTCTCTAGTAGTTATTTCAAAAGTGGAGTAAAAATGACAAGACACTAGAAGAATATATTTGTTCATTTTCTTAATTTGCTATGTGTTCTTCTTTGGCTCTACTAGAAAGCTCAATGTAAGAAGGTGATGGGATCCACAGATGGAAACCCTACATCGGTCATTTTTGCTACTCATTCACAAATGAAAGACATGATCTTACTTAAAACACCCTCAATTTATTTCTCCATCAAACCACAAATTTGTTGATTTTGCCGGTAATGCTCGTTGAATGCCCCCTCCATTGAATAGTATTAAATGAATGTGGGGGGACCGGCTCCAATAGGCATAACATAGGAAGAATATTCAATGAACACTTTATAAATATTATGACAATTGTTAAATATTGTCTTTAATCTTTTAAAAGGGTAGGTTGGGAGTGTTTCAAGAGACAAGTGTCAAAAAAAGTTTGAAATGCTCATTAAATGTACTTATAATGCCATGCCTACATGAACCTAACTCAAATGGGGTGGCGATACTAGTGCTCATTACTCATGAATAGGTATAGTGACTGACCATGCGGACTCTTTCCTTTATGCAAGAGTAATAAAAAGCTTCCATGTATGTTTAACCTTGAATTAATCGAAGTCAAAGCTTTCAAAGAGGGTTTTCAAATGGCTCACTTGGCGAATTCTTCATGTTATCACCGATTGCAAGGAGTTTCTGCACAAGTTTCATCAAATAGTTGTCTCTCTCATTTCACTTTCATCTTCATATATAAAAAACATTTTAAAGTGTCAACCCCATGTGTTATTTCTGAAGATTCCTTAGTCACACTACCTCTTGTCTTATTTATTGCAATGTCCTTTATTTTTTCAAAAAAAAAATCTATGTTTTGGTAGATGACAATTGAAACAAATGCAAATAGATAGAATTTAGATCTACTATAAAAAGTGTAAATGGATTGTGAGGACAAAATTATAATGAGGCCATTGGTTTGATCATGCATTTCATTATGCATTGCTAGTAATAATTAATATGGAAAGTTATGTTAATGTTTTAGGTTTATTTTATGAATGAACTATCCCTATTTGGTAATGTATCCTATTGTATTGTTTAGAATAAAACTTTAATTAATTAGGTTGTATTGAAGGAAGTTGATGTGTCTTTCTGAAATTCATTTATTAAATGGTTGATCTAACAAATAATTTTGCTAGGCCCACTAGTTAAATGGTTGAGAATGGTTGGGCTAGGGTTGTTCATAAGAAGGCCCAACCCGACCAAACCGACCATTTCGGACCGACCCAACCCAAGTCGGCCGGGTTATTTTCAGCACGGGTCGGTTTCGGATTGTAAAACATCACAAACCGATGGTTTGGGTCGGTTTTCAGTCTTCTTGTGTGAAAATCGAAATCGACCGGAACCGAACCGACTAATTGTCTCTTTATGAAGTTTAAATTAATTAAGCCCCCATAACTAATTGTCCCTCTTCAAATCTATTATATTGGCTAGATTAATGATTGTAATTAACTGTCCTGAAGTCTCCCTACAGAATTCACCCAAATCCCAATTAAGACAATTGAACTTCAAAATGAATATATAATCAAAGGGATAGGTTGGTGATTTTGGAGATAAAACTTAATTACTAAAAAGATATATAACATATATACCTCTATAATAGGCATTATTATTATATATGGGTTTTTCTCTTCTTCTCCTCTCCAAAGTCCAAACTGTGGACTAGAGGTATATCCTGTTTATTAAAAATAAGGTTTTTCCCGCGTTCACTACCTCACATACTATGGTGCCACAATCCCCACATATATATTGCAGTTGAGTTTCTGTCAAGCATGGTTGAATTTAGAGCCAAAATCGACCCAACCCGACTCAAACCGACTAGGTCGGTTTTGCTTAACACTGGGTCGGTTTCGGTTTCAAGTTCAGGTAAACCAACCAGGTCAGGTCGGTTGGAAAAACCTCAATAAACTGACCCAACCCAACCCGTGAACAGCCCTAGGTTGGGCATTATTTGACTTACGAAAAAAAGCCATAGTGCAAACAAACTTGGGTTAATGTAGTTTTCAATAGGATGATTTGAAACCACACCATTTAAATGAATTCTTGTTTCTTTCTTATTTTATGTAAAACCAAACATAATCTTGGAATTATTAGTGGAATTTTTTCAATTTACATTCATAAAATTATAGCCATATTTTTTACTCTTTGACAATGCATCACTTTCTTTATTGTGGTTGATCATCTACCAAAATGAAATAGTCCAATCTTCCTCCCTTTAGTTCATATATTGTAGGCACATTATAGCCAATTTTTTAGATCAAACCAACCAGTTGACTTCAGGACCAGGTCTGATCTGGTCCAAGCCCGCTCTGAGTTGGACACCATGTACAAAGGCAAAGGGGTGGCTTACCCATAACCTAACCCCAAAAAGATTGGGTTGAGCTGAATATCATGTTGGGATTGGGGTTGAGAAATATGGAATTCACATATGTGAACATGCCCAGAGGTATTCCACATCTGAGCGTGCATTGGGAATCTCCATTACTTGTCATTAGGAGATGTTCCCAATGAATAATTTGGATGTGTCATAGGGGGCATATGTGATAAGAAATATGTATGCATCTATATAATCTAAAAGTTAATAAAACTAACCTATCCAAACCCAACCCAACCTCGACC